CCAGCTCCCATGTCAGAGGATGAAGAGAGCACATCCAGTTAGTCACAGTCAGGCTTCATGCTGCTGCTCGTTTAAATGGGTTAACTGGCTCCAACTCTACAATAAGCTTAGCTCCCAGTTAGCCACGCTGTGGCCTGAAAGGTGCAACACGACACGATAGATAAGCAAGAGAGGCTCAGTGGTGTCTGGTTCATCATTTGACTGCAGGCCTGCGTCTGTGTGCCTCAATGTTTAAATAGAAAACAAATGAATGAATGAATATCGTCACACTGTTAGAATCATACAGTAACTTTAGTAATCTGCTGTATGGTTCATTTTTCCCCTCGGACTCAGCTGCCAGTTTGGTCCCATGAGTCTCATTCATCTGTTTCTACCTGCTGTTGATGATTAGCTGTAACGTCACACACTTAAAGCCTCCAGACGCTAACGCGGCTCACACTCAACGTTTCAGATGATAGATGTGACAATCGGTCCATCTGCTTTCTTTAAGATGACAGGACTGTAGGGGAGTTTATTTTTCTTCACCATCAGGTTTCTGAGGCTGAGCCAACAAGCTAATCTATAAATAACTTCAGGACTTTATCTTTGCTAACATTAGGTTTAAGTTTTAAGCTTTTATTGAGTTATTTCTTGCTCTGATGTGAGTCCTCTGATGCGTTGTCAGTATGACAGCATGCATGCACTTTAAACTCTTTTATTTGCTGAGTTAATGATTATTTAGTTCTGCACCTAATGCATGATTAAAAAGGTTTTACTACTAATGTGGTGAGTTCTGAAGTTTTTTTTAATGGATTAACTTTTCAGCTGATTGAACTACATGTATGTCATGACAAATTAGTAGCATCTGCTCTTTGTTTGAATTCCACCTGCTATTGAAGACCGTTTATTGTTTCCTCTGCATTTTATGCATTAAAATATGAAAGAGTCGCATTGACAAGTGAACATTTTAGATCACCGCTGATGACAGAATAAAACAAACAAACCAAACATCAGCTTGGATGAAATTTCAAATAAAACTTGCAAATTTATTCTCTTCTCACTTCACTGTCAAACATAAATAACAATGACGACATCTTTTATAATGTCAATATTTATAACAGCCGGATCCGTTAGGGGAGAATTTCATCTGGGTAGATTTTTCTCTTATAACTCATCCAAATTACTTTGATTACGAAATTCCCTCTCTGCATTTAACCCATCCCTTTGGGGAGCAGTGGGCTGCCATTGGGCGGCGCCCAGGGACATAGGGACCCCTTTTTCATCATTCTGCTTCATTCTATCTCTATTCTCCCACTCTGCAGAATCTGTTAGTTCAATCTCTAACGTTCTGCTCTCTCTGCTTTTTCTCATAGTAGCTTCATCTGGTCTGTTCCTGTTTGGCTGTGACTCCATCCTGGAGAGAAATATCAGCTGTGCTGCTGCCATCAACACCTTTGTTTCTAGATGTTGGAGCTTGGCCTGTTTTCCAGTGTAGTCCTGTTTCTCTGACTGTGACTAACTGGATGTGCTCTCTTCATCCTCTGACATGGGAGCTGGCTCGGAGCTCGTCTGCCTGGCTGTGTGTTTCCTGGACGGGGCCGCCTGTGGAGCTGGTTGACAGTTGCCTTTTGTATCTATGCTTCTTTTTCTATGTCTGCTTCTGTCTCCTTGAACCCCAGTGGGCCTCAGCAGATGGCCGCTCACACTGAGCCTGGTTCTGCTGGAGGTTTCTTCCTGTTCAAAGGGAGTTTTTCCTCTCCACTGTCGCTACAAGCATGCTTAGTGTGAGGGATTGCTGAAGAGTCAATGAGTCGATGCAATCAGCTGGTTTTCCTTAGATAGAAAACTTTGAATCAATCTGACTGGATGATCTGGTGAACTGGAAAGTGACCTGAGATGACATGATGTGAATTGGCGCTATAGAAATAGACTGAATAGAATAGAATAGAATAGAGCCTAAAATACCACATTCAGCTCCTAACATGCTATTGTACAGCAATGCAAATCACTTAGTATGTGGATCAAGGGAGTTGTTTTATTATGAGAACAAGCTACCACCAAATTCATGCCCATCTTTATTTGGAAGAAGCTAAAAATTAGATAGAACTGTATATATAGAGTCACAATATTTATTAGAAATAGATTATCTAGTAAACTCAGTGCTATATGAGTTTGTGCAGTGTGGGGGGCAGTTAACAGGAAGAACATAATAAAATGTATTTAACCTTGAAGAGGTCAAAGCAAACAGACTAATAACCTTCTACATCGTGTGTTTTACTGCTCACATCCACCAATACAGAGACTGATGAGTGAAGCTTTTATTATTTATGTGAAAACAAGCAGCGTCAGTTGAATAAAAACGGTGTGAAAAACACTTTATAACAAGTCGTACAGACACGTGAAAAAACATCACCTACATCCATTTCTCTGCATTCTGTCTTTGCATTTACCAATATTTAGAGACACAACCTGTTTGTCTTTGATGGAAACATGACAGAACATGAAAGAAAACTAGATATAGAAACAAATTCGTTCCCATGTACTACAACAAAAACGTAAGACGGCAAGACAGAGACTAGTTCGCTCCGAATCCGAAAAAACCCCAGAACGTTTAAACTTTGATGACAGTAAACGCTGAAGGAGTTTGCAGGCACTCCAAAACATGAGCGGATCTATGTCTACCGTTTCTGTGACGAGGATCAAAATATAAAACGAAAAAACAAAAACAAAAAAAACATTAATATTGGTTCATAAAACCTACTAGAGCCAAACACAATGGCTTACATTTTCTGCAACACCTTCCCTGTAAGAGGAAGTTTCGTCTTAAACTTTTTTTTTTTAGATAGTAACGACATTTTCCAGCCAGGCAGGACAGGTTTTTCTGGTTCCTGAACTCCCGCTCTGGTTGGCTTTGCGGCCTTTATCCACTCAGTGGCTGGCGCCTATCTCCTCAATCTTCCAACCACTGGAATTCTTTCCAAACTTGTAGACAAGTCTTCTTCCATCCACTCGCTCCAGAATCTCTCTTTTGTAGTAATACCTGCAAGTACAGACACATTGCTCATTGGAAACGTGGCTTCTTTTTATCGCATATGGTTTTCTATTTCTCTATATTCATTTTGGTTTTTAGATGCAGAACAGTCCTCATCTATGAACTACAGAGTTTAGTTAAAATTCTGCGCCAAAAGTGCAAAAATCTTAAATGATCCAGCAAAGTTGAGCTTTTTTTATTCGGGGCATTTTGAATCGAAATTCAGATTCAGGGAAACGGAAACATTTGACTTGTTTAGACGCATCGTTTCTGTGCCTCCTTCCTAATAAACCCTCAGCATCAGCCATGTGGTGACTCACCTCATGGCCCGGCTGAGTTTCTCGTATGTCATGCTGGTGTTCTTCTTCTTCTGACCCCACATCTGAGCGACGGCCTCGGACTTGAGGAATTTGAACACACCCTCTCGACGATCTTCCCACTTCATCAGGCCCTGGTTCTTCTCCGGATGGATGAGGATGTCCCTGATGAACTCCCATAGGTGGGTACCACGGGGTGCTGCCAAGATGTGAAGAACAACAAGCTGAGCTTCTAGGTGCACTAAATGTTAGCTGAACATGCGATGCAAAATGACGGTTGGGCTGCTTACCATGTTTGCTTTTCTTTGGGTTGTCATAAATGGTGCTGCTGTTCTCCCGGTTGATTTTAGGGGGCCGCCCTCGGGGCCTCTTCTTGCGACATTCTCCGTCCTCCGTCTTAATGTGGATCTCTGTCAACACAGTCATTCATTATCGCAACGAACCTCGACTCTACGGCCGGCAGCAGAATGCAAAGCAAACAAAGACTCACTTGACACTGGGTACGGGAACTCTGGGTCCGATTCGCTGGTGCCGGACTCTGGTGAGCTCATGAACCTAAACATGCCACCTGAACACAGATCATACATGTTTAGGGGAAAACGTCCTGATAAGAAACTTGACCAGGATGATGATAGAATACTCACTGTTGGCTGAAGAGCTGCTCTCACTGTCAGAAGGATTATCGGAGAGGTAATCGGTCTCATCCAGCGGCGTCATGGTCTCCATGGTCAGTCTATTAAGATCATAACCACTCCGGTAGTCAAAGTCTCTCCTGCTCTCAGCTTCATCATCTGTGGTGAATAGATGTGTTATTCCAGAGTCATTCTGGCAATACAGACGTATGCTGCTTCTATAGATCACTTTTAATCTGTACCATGGCCGATTCGGAGAGAGGTCAGCAAAGGGAAGTTCAAGTTGTCCAAGAAGTTATCCAGAAGTTGGCACGTCTCACTGAGTTCTGGTCCTGGGAGGTTCTGTAGCTCTGGAGAGGTAGAAGAATTGGTTAGCTTTCTACCATCACTTAAGACATTTGTCTGTTTGATCAAATGAGCTAAACGGCTGGGTTTCAGTTTACCGTGTTCAGTCTTGTATTCTTCCAAGCTTTGGTGAAGATGTGGACCGAGCTGTGGGCCAAAGGTTCTCGTCATCTCCTCCTGGTTCATGCGGCAGAGGGAGAGGCCGTCCATGGAGCAGAAAGCCAGGCTCAGCGTGCTGGCATCAAACTTGGTGTTCTCCACATGGTCACTGATCCACTCAAGAACGTGCTCTGCCGTCCAGTAATGAGGGCTCATCTGTTTGTACCACTGACCTGAGGAGTGAGAGACATTTAGCTCCTCAGATTATTCAAAATAATCTCCTAGTTGGTTTTATTTTGTTTCTGTTCCTCTTTGCTTAACTAAATAAACTCTATTTGCAACATCTCTACATTCTCTAGTGTTTGTGTCATGAAACATTACAAGACCCAAACAACACCTTGTTTGGGGGTCAGACAAGGTCAGACAAACATAGCCAGCCCAGTTAATGGAGCAGGAGGTCAGAGCATTTCCCCCCTTTCAGCGCGGACCAAAGTTAACCATTGACAGCCTGGTAAATCATTGGCTCAATTGGGTCAAAGATAAGTGAGCTTCGGGTTCGGTTCAAATGAAGGGACTGTGTTGTTCATGTATGATTAGGGAAGTATATTACTGGTGTCCCAAAGATTTTGGATGTTAAAGTAAACCGGAGCTGCAGGGCTAAGAAGCCAAACATTTCTGAAAACATCTCATTTGATTGGAAGAAACCTCGCTTCCATCATATCAGTCTAAGAGGAAGCTTATCATGTCATATATGGTTACATCATATATTTATGCATGAGTTTTAAGGCTAATCTGGAGATCCAACACTCAGCAGGAAATGCTCAACCATTGCTGCTCTAAGCAATCCTCTCACCTCTGGTGTTGTAGCTCCTGCTCTCCAGAGTGTTGAGGTTGGGCGACGCATGGAGCTGCTGTTGTGGGATGTCAGGTAAGCCGGTCTGATACATGGTCAGGTTGGCATGAGTCAAGATGCTGCTGAGGCACGGTGACGACATCGATTCGCTGACAGACAGAAAGGTTACACATCAGCAAAGGTTCAAAGAAAGGGATTTCAAAGAGTTTAGCATCTTAAATCCTGCTCTATCAAATGTTTTGATAAAATTATTTACCTGTTACAGCCGAATAAAATCGTCAAAAATGATCCAAAACAATCCTTGTTTTAAGTTGTAGTCTCCTCTGTCTCCTTCCCCGTCTGTTCGTTGTTACGTCTCGTTCCCAAAGGCAACAAAGCAGCTTCTTTTGGAAATCAACATGTTTTATATCCAAAGGGGGAGGGAGAGGTGAATTCAGGGGAATTCCACCTGAAGGTAGCCACACCTCCATCCCTCCTCCACTTTCCTGGGAACTCAATAAAAAAAAAATAAAAAAACACAAAACCAACCTGTCCTGTTTTTCTTTCCAAGCTTCACTGTCTCTCACCCATCATCACTAAAGATTAGATTAAACTTCTCGTTCAACAGATTTAGTTTCTGTAAGTTGATCTTTTTGGCCTAACTGCAATCCTTTAACTCAACCATAAGCAGCAGTGCTGGAATGAAATGTTATCTCTGGCGCTTTATCGCAAATCATTTCCATTTTTACAGTCAAGAAGCTTTCTATGTCTGATGTCATTTACTGTTTTCATAATGTAGATGAACTTTGTCCCTTTATGGTCCTTTTTCTTTAACCATGACTTGAACCTCTAAAATGTGACAGTAGAAAACAGATGAGCATGTGGGCAGGTAGTTTTATCAGCCAGGTATGTGCAGAGAGATAAGGGAACTCTACCAAGACTGTCTTCTGTTCTGTCTTGTTCACTTACCTCCTGGGGTTTCAGACAGGTCCAATTATAGCTGCTTATTGTTGCAGGTGGCATGAACCGACTTCAGTTACATAAATGCAAACACCCACACACACACATGCACACACATGCACCCAGGATGGGTATAGAGTGAACAGACTCTTATTTGACTTTTTGTTTCACTCTCTATGGCATGCTTGCATCTTTGCAAGGTGGGGGTAGAATCGTTGGTGGTCACGCCATTATGTAGACTTTCCATCTCTGAAGAAATGCAGTATTAGAGTGAGAGTGTTATAATAAACCTGCCAGTTAATATATACCATAAAACTAAATGCTGTATCCTGCAAACTGGTGTGCATTTAACTCCAGAGATAATTTAGACGTTGGTTTTAGGCTAAATGTGGTTGTTACGTCATAGTCAGAGGTTTCAAAAGTATTCATATCTATTACTACAGTAGAAGTATAAATCCTACTGTTAAAAAACACTTTAGTAGAAGTTAGAGGATCAGCCTAAGCTTTTGTACTCCAGTAAATGTGTAAAACTACCATTTTTAAAACTACTGAAAGTATAAAAGTAAAAGTAATGCAAGAAAAACTGTTAAGGCCAGAAGCTTTACTGCTCTACTCTATTAAAGGAACTTTTTTCTACAATTCTGGATGAAAACTTGCTTAGACTTCATTTTCTTAGTTTTCTAACTAATGGTAGCATCATCTGGAAAAACGATTTATTTTGGTTTGTGGTGAGCAACAAGTTGGGGCAGCACCGAGTCCAACCACAAAGAAATAAATTATCTGGATGAAACAAATTATTTTGATGGTTTTTATTTTCTTTAAATACCAACAGGCCATAATGAAAATGAGCTTAAATGAAACAAAACTAAAAAGTCTATTTGAAAATGTGCGGAGTAGAAGGAAAAAGTTGTCTATGAATAATTACTCCAGTAAAGTATAAGTAGCCAACATTTCTACTGAAGTAGGTTAATGATATATTTGTACTTTATTTCTTTACGCCTCTGGTCATTGATTTGATTTGATCCAAAAAGCACTGTTGAAAATTGGGCTGTTGGATCTGATTTGGTCCAACTTTGTGTCAGGATCCCAGTTTTTGTGTTTGTCTGTTTTTCTTGTATTTTGTGTTTCTCCCTTCCACCACCAGGAGGCGCCTGGCTCCGGTTCGCCTCCTCACACACCTGCAAATGGTTGCCTCATCACCTGACTGCTCTCAAGCTGCTAGTTGCCACTACTTCGACGCCAGAGTGTTTGCCAGTTTGGGGTACTCTAAGCCAAGCTGAGTTTTATTCTGAGTTTAATCTGAGTTTTTGCTTTTTTTTTGAGTTTCTGTCCTCTAGCCAAGCTGAGATCACATTGAGTTTTACTGAGCGCTTGTTTCTTCCTGAGACTCAACACTTTTTATTCT